TATATGTATGGGTGTAAGGTGATCTCTCTCTACCTGTGTGTGTGTGTGTGTGTGTGACTGGTTATGCAGGTTTTAGAATGTGAGTAAAATTAGAATAGTTTTGTTCACGTTCAGTTTTGTTCCTTGTTCGTTGAATGAGTGTCAGGGTGGAGTGGAATATAATCCCACACGAGCATACCGATCAGACTAACATACTATTCACAAAGACATACCAATCAGACAGACAAGAACCACTGTATCGTAGCTGTGTGTCTCGCTGGGGTGTACTCAAGGGATAAAATAAAGTCACTAACAATCAGAATTTCGATTGATCTGGAAAACTGATTTATACATTATTTTCAGATGATATTAGTGAAGTAAATATAAACACCTTTTATTAGTGTATTTGTAATTTGAAGAAAAAAAAAAGATAAATATATCCATAGTAATTTATTTTTATGTTTGAGAATAAATTTGAGTGATAAATAATATATTATGTCTGGTCTTAATAACCTTAAGGTGATTACAGAGAGCTTTATGTTTCACCCGACAGAGGACCTTTTAGCTAGGGCAGGGCCACACCAAACACGTGATGGCGACAGTGTTATCATCAGTGTTGAGTCACGTCACCAATGTAACAGTATAGTGACAACATTCCGGGCCAAAGCTTGTAACACTGATGGTAATAAAGTTAAAATTGAATGTTGAATAGTTGTTTCGGTCCATGTGTCCGATTCCTCAGTAGTTCTCGACCCACGGGAAGTTGTGTGTAAGAAATATAATTATTGTAAACTTATCGAAATATGAGGTACACTTACTGATAATACTCCTGTATGGGTGTCTGTGTTGGTGTATTGTGTGTGTGTGTGTGTGTGTGTAAACGGATGGTGTTTGTAAGCATTACATCATCTCTCTACTTACGATCAGTTGAGTGTGGCTGATATTGATGTGATATTATATAGAAAATGCCGAGTGATAATGGCTTTCTACCATAAGTTATAGTATATTAGGCAGAAAAAAAACACTCGAGGCTTTATTAAAAGTTTCCTCTTCAGCTTAAGGTTGACGGTGTACGTAAAGTGTAACTTAAGTTTTGTTATTCAAGAACAAGTTCAGTAAACCTTCCCTAACCAGAATCCCCCTGACAGGAAGCTCCCAATACCTGGATTTGAGAGTCGTATGTTTTTTCTCCAAATTTTCCCTCGTTTCCGGTTATTTGCGGATGTATCCTGTCTGTCTGTCACTCTGATAATGTGGATTTTCATGTATTGTGGTGGTTGGTCACTGCCCAGGAGCGAGCGGTTCAGCACTGAGTGGCTATTGTGACACCAACTGAAATAAAGCAGTGATATTCTCGATAGCTCAGTGTGTGAAGTACTTGTTGAATCATGACCAAGGTGCCAGCTGAGATATTGGGGAGGAGGAGCGAGAAGATATGTAGCTGTGTTTTATAGAAAATTTTGAGAACTGATAAAATAGTGAATGTCAGACAGCCTGTAATGATGTGTGTAAATGTCCACTACATCAAGAATATATTGTATCATTTTACCTTTCACTTCTTCTGTCTACATGTCTTATATTTAGAGGCGGCACTTTAGACCCTAACAGTTACAACCAGAATACAGAAAACCGCGAGAGTTACCGGAAAATAGCAAGTTTAAGAAGACTTATCTGGTTAAGAGAACGTGCTCCAATAATAGAAATTCTTCCATAACCGGATTGACCGCTCACCAATTAATCCAAGTAATGATGATTTTACTGTATGTGAACGATGCAGACACAAAGCCTCCCCCAGGACACACACTTCACTGTTATGTTATTGTACTGTAAGCGACGGTCTCTCAACTGCACTGTATAATGTTGTACTGCATTGTCCGGAGCGTCTGGCAGGGTGATGATAGTGGCCCCACTTATCTTCATATAACCTACAGGAAAGGACTTCAAGATGCTTGGCAAATTTACTGAACAAAAGACAATTATATAACGTCTAACCTGTTTTGGAGCCTCACGTAACTGATGACTCGACCTGCCTAAAAAATGGTATTCCTGTTTAGATGTGCCAGAGTTTTTCTCTTTACCTGTGATACCTATACCTTAATTAAAGGTGACTTACTCTTATGGAATAGTGTTGTCATATTTCAATTTGATATTGCTCTGTTGATAAATTCTAGATTAACTAAAATTTATCAACTTAAAGATGACACACACACACACACACACACACACACACACACACACACACACAGGTATCAGCAGGAGGCAGAGGAGGCAAACGTAATCTAGTTTCCCAGTGGGCAGTCCAGGTGGGTAGTGGAGCCTCTCTCCTGCCATTAGTTAACATCAGTGGTATTGCTGTGGTGGAGGTGATGCTGTGGTGGTGGTGGTGGTGGTGATGATGATGCTCTGGTGATGGTGGTGGTGATGGTAGTGGTGGTAATACTGTGGCCGTGGTGGTGTCACTGTAGTGATGCTGTGATGGTGGCACTGCACTCTACCACATTCACTTTCCAATTGTAAAGTCAGGTACCCATTTACAACTGGGTAGACTGGGAATGACCCGTGATCGAACCAGCTACCCTGTGGATAGAAAGCGAGCTCTGTCTCCACTCCACCACCGTAATTGCTTATAACCTAATATAAATTAATACACGAACAATTACTCCACAATGACGAGGCCTAAATCTAACTTGGTATAAATGTCATCTACTAACGCCTGCTCTACCTATTAATATACAGAAAACTTAATTTCTAAAAACTTCTTGACGGCTCACCATTGTGGTTGGTGAGCGTAACTGTTGTAAAGGCTCACACGGTCTCTTCTCCTCCCCCCCCCATACAGTCGGGTTAGTTCAGCGTTCAGGTAAGTTCCGCTAGTTTGCTTCAGATACTCCGTGAATTGTGTGTCGGAAAACTCCTCCTCTGACTCACTTTCACCGACAGCTGTCCACGTCACCTTTGTTTATACTCGTCATTCTCTCGGCGTGAAGGGTAGTTGTGACGTCATCATTTCTTGTAATAATTCTACCCAAAGAAAAAAAAAGAGGAAACACGTTAAATTATTTCCAAACGACTTAATATTAGGGTGAATATATTAATACTAATAATAAGACTATAACACTCCCTTCTATGGTTGATTATAGATCCATTTCACCATTATTTCAGCTATAATCATATAGAAGTTATAGACAAAATATATATACGATCGGTTAATACTCAAGATCGACCCTAACGTTAACTTCGGTAGGGTCGGTGAGATTATGGGAACTATAGTGAAGTATAACAAGATTGTCGCTTAGGGCCGATGTTCTGTTGATTAATAAACCTTTAATTATATCCATGAAACTAAACTTATTGTATTTTGAATTACTTCTATAACTTTCCTTATTAAATAAACTTATACAGATAGACGTAATTGACATACATATTTATAACCAAACATACTCTATCATAGATAATATAAATACATATAAATAATAGCCTACAATAAACAAAAGACTGGTAACAAAAACATTAAAATTTGACTGATGTTACAGTTGGTTTTTTAGATAAGGTTTTGTGTGGCTAAAACAAACAGTTCAGTTTCCACCACTCATAAACACCTTCTCGAAAAAATAAAAATAAAAACTTTATAATCAACCCACAAGTTTTTTTTTATATAGATAAATTTCCCAAAGCGTAGAATACTGACTGGTTGAATATCCTCGTGTGGGGGACCTTAGGAGGCGAGCGACAGGAGGGAAGGGTCACTACGGCGTGCCCTTGGTTCCTGGAGCAGATGTTACAGTCAGAGGATGAAGTTTCTATGTTTATGGGCAAGTGTGACCTCCTCTAGAAAATATAAGGTAGTTCTTATAATCGCTTGAAGTACAATTATATAAAAAATATTACTTATTTTACATATCATTTTGTTATATATTCTTTAAATAAAATATATATACAGGTGAATATGGTTTTACATGACTTAAACTGTCCCAGGATGTACAGTATATAATTCAATTAATCAATTTATTCTTAAGTATGTGTGGCTACAACGACAAACTACATTGTATATAGTTTTAGTTTATTAAATTTAACGATCGCAAAAATGTGTGTTAAACATTGTGGAACACCCGGACACTGTTGATTGCTCGACCTGGCGGCGCTGTGTTATGGCATATACAATAGTCTCACCCACATGCAAAGGCTACAAAGATTCTCAAACTTCCCGTAGCTGAGGATAAGAAGTTTTATATATGGCTCTGACGTCATTCAAACTTCTAGCTTTGTGAGGTAAATGAAATAAACCAGAGAGGTCGTTTCATCATTAGTTATGGGGACGGTGTAACAACCAACCTTGAAGGGATTAAACGACCCAGTTGTTTCCTTTCTTACACGTCTATCGTTCTGGGGTGACGTACCGTACCTCCTGGAGAGTCTGTGATGTATTGACTGAAAGTTTGTTTGGAATTATGTGAGTATTTTTCTCATACGAGTTTTTTGTTAGTGTGTAGGTGTTATTATGTGAGTGTAAGCGTCTTTGAGTGTATTGAATGTGTAGTTACGTCAACGTGTAGATTTATGAGAAGGTGTATCTATCTTTGTGTTACTCTACCTCCTTGTTTATAAAAAAAAATCTATGGGTAGACTTATTTTTGGGGGGTCCTTTTTTGGTAAACGTAGAATTATGGAATAAACAGTCGTACACAGATGTTGTCGCTGTGAGTGTAAATACAGTAGAGGAATAAATCTTTTGTGTGAGGCGGTCAGGCATACGATAACTATAATGTATAATTATAATTTATAACAATTACAATCTTTTATATAATTGGTAAATAATATTAATTGACTATATATACAATGGAAATATAACAATTGTAATTAGTTAAGTTTAAAGGTCACTGATAAGTGATAGTCAATAGATGTTGTAATCTGTGGGAGGCAAGTAGGTGAGGTGTCCCAGGGTGGCGGGAAAATGCAGGTGTGGGCAAGCGGCGGGAAAATGCAGGTGTGGTTGTTACTCAGACTATAAATGGGAAAGAACCGTGTGGGGGCAGTTGTACATAACTGTTAACTCTCACTGCGTCTGCGCCTCCTCCTGCGTACTCACCATGGAGGCGTTTACTACCACCTTACTTCTCCTTGGTATTTACTTCTTCGTCTGTGTGTTGTGGGATGAGTGAGTAAGTTAAAAAGCGAAATTATCTCTCCAGTCATTTATTGTGAGGGTTTTTGTGCCTCCAAACTAAGGTAGAATAGTTGGGTTTTTGTTATATATGGGTTAGGTTAGGTTAGGTTAGGTTAGGTTGACTGAAACTAATTCGTATATTAATCAAGATAGAGAAAAAGCTTAAAACAGGTAAGATTAATAAGTTTGAGCAGATGAAACTTCCAAATTATCGGGTGTCATCGGGAAAATCGGATGACTTAGCAGTTCTCCCTTCACCCAATTTTCCCCCTGACTGGAGATGTGAAACAGCATTTGGCCGATTCACTTAATCAATTGCTGAAAGATGACAGTCTCAGACAGGTGGCAAATAACTGTACGACTGCTTGAAAATCCAGTAACTGTATGACTGCTTCCGTATTGTATCTGTACTTGTATCTACACCTGAACCCGCAGCTACACCTGAACCTGTACCTACTCCTGTAATTTTATATACGTACACTTATACTTACATGTGGTTTTGATAACATAAAGGTTCTCCCCACAGAGGAGCAGCTGTGTGTCTGGCCTCCCCTGGCTCTCATCTTCGCTAACACACAACAGATCACCGTACTGTTGCTGCCTTCACCGTATAATAACAGAGAGGCTGTTCCCACCACCTAGAGCGACCTTTGAACTTCCGTTGTGCTGCAGGTGGCCGGGCGGATATTGAGCCCATAGTCTTTTCATTCCACTCTTTTCTGATGAAATTTTCGTTAAATGTATTTAATTAATTGTGAAATAATTTATCGATAATATAATACACAACATTTGCCTTACAAGCAAATGACTTAGGATTCAATTCCAGCGTGGAGTAGAGGAGACGGTTACCTTGTGCACTTACCAATACACGTTTGATTACATTACCTGCTGGTGATGGAACAACCCTTCAGTGATTTATTGTACTGTCTCAGTGGTTAGGTGAAGTTAATAATTTATATTTTGTAACAGATGTAGCTAGGTGTATGGTATAGCTGTATTTCAGGTATGTGTGTGTGTGTGTGTGTGTCTGTGTGTCTGTGTGTGTGTGTGTCTGTGTGTCTGTGTGTGTGTGTGTGTGTGTGTGTCTGTGTGTGTGTTTGTGTGTGTTTTATCAGATAACACTGAAGAAATAATTCAATATATTATCACTGAAAATGTGGTCCTGGCATTGTGAAGTTGGAAAAGTTAGTAGCCACCTGATTTCATTATATTCCTCCACCTTGGTACTCACCCACCACCGTGTTCAACTCGTCCCTCCCTAAGCCTGCTCGCCGCCCTACACACAAGTGGGTGACCGCTGCCTCTTCATCGATAACGTGCTGTCAGGGAACTGGACTGAGCTGACCGCCGTATGTCAAGACTTAGGGGGAGAACTGGTCGACCTCCATGATGCTAACCTTTTGGCTTACATTGTCGAACATTTGTATGAAACTGGTAAGTGTGTTGACCACCTCCACACCTCCACACCCACAGTTCAACATTTGCATCATTTGGTCACCTCCATCACGACAATAGATCAGTAGTATGATTACTTTACTAAGAGTATAAGTTAACTCACACAATACTAAACAATTAGTAATGCCATAACTATAGAACATAAGAATGGAGGAAACTGCAGCGGGCCTATTGCCCCATACTGGGCAGTCCCATCTACACCCAACCCCTATTGCTCATATAAGCATCTAACCTATGTTTGAAGCTATTCAGCGTATTCGAGTTAATGATGATATTTGGTAACTTGTTCCATTCATCCACTACTCTGTTTCCAAACCAGTGTAATTTATGTATTTTAGGGAACTTATCCAGTTTAAATATCAAAATAATTAATTAAAAGTCAAGACAAACTAACCTACATTACATTATCATTGCTAGTAAACAAACACTAACACAATACACACCACTGTCTACGTTACCTCGATTTAATGTTTTACATTGTGTTGTGGTGGCAGGGAGGAGTGATGTGAGCTACTGGGTAGGAGCCACGGACCAGGCGGTGGAGGGGCAGTGGAATTGGTTGACGGGTGCACCTGTCCACATGAACACTCCACTGTGGGGTGACCTCAAAGACGGAGTCCAACAGCCCACAGGTGGAGCTAAGGAGAACTGCGCCGTACTCCTGAAGGAAGACTACTACTTCATGCATGACGCCCCCTGCTCTAACCCGCACTCTCTCATCTGCCAACAAACTCGTGAGTTCTCAACGCTGTATGACTGACTGATCGGTTACTCTGTTATTTCTGACTCTTCACTCTATGTAAAGAATGTAACTTACTCTGATATACACGCACACACACCTAACCAGACTTATCATTACTAACCTGGGTTAGGATGATCACTGACCTGGGCTAGGATGATCACTGACCTGGGCTAGGATGATCACTGACCTGGGCTAGGATGATCACTACGACAGCAGTAAAATATAATTGCACGAGGTTGTATTAAATTGGAGTCTATTTTTTTTACTTTAATACAAGACAATTTTTCTCCATATGAATGTTCATCAAGTGTTTATCAAGCATATACCAAGTGTATATTAAATGCTTATTAAGTGTTTAGCAATGTTTATCCTGTTATTCTTGAGTTACACTGTCAGGGATAATTTGTATCCTGAATCATAAAGTGTCAGTGGAGCCCCATAACACCTACACTTGACTTACTGTGATTAAAGGAGCACTCTCTTGGCAGCAGACAGCCTCCTACAGGACCCAGCACTCAGCACCACCAGAGGACGACCTTCAGTAGGTAAGTTGCTTGTTACTATTATACTGTACTGGGTTTTTTTTACAGTCCCAGAACGCTGATGGTTTAGTTCATGTTGTTTGTGTGTGTGTGTGTGTGTGTGTGTGTGTGTGTGTGTGTGTAATATACATTGGCCTATTCATATTTATGGATTAGAATTTTAAAATTGCTATAATCTGAGATAACCAAAACAAATGAAAAAAATTGCATGTCTAACCTTTTAATACCGCCAGAGTGCCCACATCCCTACGAGGTCATTGGTGGTCGATGTCTCTTCGTCAACGTGCCCAGCTCCGGCACCTGGGAAGAACAGCGGCGCTTCTGTGAGCTGCTACACGGTGGTCATATGATCAAGCTGGACGATGCTAACGTTCTCGGTGCCTTGTTCGACTACCTTCATGCCCATGGTGAGAATCTGACTAACATATACTGTTAAAATTCACAAGAGTAGGTTTTCACATCGCTTTAACACACTCATTAGATACCTGCTGTTGCTCCCACATTACCTTATACCTCTTTACCGCGAGTACCGAATACCTGCTAAAGCTCTTATTACAGGTGTCCACAGTTATATAATTTATATTCATGATATCTGTTCAACATGTAAACACTGAACACTGACTGTGACTATAAACCGTAGTTACTTATTTAGTGATTTTGCGTTGTTGTTATGTATATTAATATGAAAAGTCACTTGAGAGAAAGGGACATACGACTCATCTCTTCTTTCTTGACAAATAGGAGAAGACATAAGACATAGTCACCATTTGATTTACTCTCGTTACTCCTTTATCGTTTACCCTGCCGAGACTACTAACAGTAACATCCACATGGCGTTATTGATGGTAGGTGACGGATCTTGACCCTGTAATTATAGTGTCAGGAGGTTATGTACCCTTGAGCTGCAGCAGATTCAGGTATATACGAAGCTGTAGTGTTGTAATAACCTGTGTGAGTGTATGGGAGGAAGTGTAAGTGTGTGTGTGTGTGTGTGTGTGTGTGTGTGTGTGTGTGTGTGTGTGTGTGTGTGTGTGTGGCAATATAATATATTTTGACAAACTTCAAATTCATTTCTGGTGTTTTATCCTGTTTTCATTACAGACTTGACTAGCTCCTACGTATACATCGGAGGGTCGGACAGTAAGAAAGAAGGTGACTGGCGCTGGCTGGACGGGACGCCTGTACGTATGGGCACTCCATTCTGGGGGGCTCAAGGCTCGAGTCCCCAAGAACCACAAGGGGGAACCTCACAAAACTGTAGTTCTCTTATCAATACTGATCACTTCTTTTTACATGACCTTGAATGCGACAGCCTCGTCGGTGTGATATGTGAACACTGAGATGAACTTTCTCCAAAACACAAAGATTTTAATATTTCACATTGTAATCGATTTTTTTTATTTATTTTTTTAACATGACCTACAAAATGTGTCCTAGATTTTAGTATTGGATCCATAACGGCACAAGGCTCCTTCACCTCGTCTAGGAACACTTACCTGATTCTCATGAACAGGTAGATGAAGACTGTTGGCCAACTCAACAGTAATATAGTATATCTCCCTGTAATAAATAAAAAAGTAAAATAGTTAATCTTTTAGTATCACTTCTAACAAATCTCAGGCCAGGTTATTATATTCGTAAGTTGATTCAGTCAAAATAAAAGTATTACAGAGTTTTAAATAAGAAACAATTAAGGTTGAGTTTGACTAAAAAAAAAAAAGTCACAACTCTTATAAAGGTAATGAAAGTGAAGTGACATATCATTCCTGAGGGTTGGCGACCACGGCCCTCGACTCCTGCTGTCTCACCAAATATTGTATCACTCTGGCTACTCTAATGTAATCCCTGAGAACTATACTTTTGTCTGTAAACAATTTAGTTATTTAAAAATACTAAAACAGCAAGACAGTTTATACACGAAATTTTCTTTTGTTATATAATTAAGACAAATTTTATATAGTTCATTAATATAAGGACTGATGGTAGCAGATATTGGGGTAATCTAATTATCATATAAATAAGATGGTAAGGTTTCTCTCCCTCTCACAGCGCCTGACGAAACAAATAAAAGTTCTCCCCCAGTAAATCGCATAAAACCAATTCTCTCATTATGTCGACTACATAGGCCGTTGACATTACTGTAGGGAGACACGAGACTAAAGCCAGGTCCTCTACAGTGTGTTTGGTGTATACCTTAACAAGAGCTGATGGCCGGCAGCACAAGTCACCCAGCGAAACATAAAACTCCTACAGGAAAACTTTAGCCAAGACACACAGAGGAAGACACAGGTAGGGCAGATCATTATATGTATCAGGTATATATAGAACCCCATGAGAGAGAGAGAGAGAGAGAGAGAGAGAGAGAGGGGGGGGGGTTCTACTGTGACCAATACAAGAAATACAACATAAAATGAGAAAGAACGTCCGTGTGTTTGTTTGACGAGAGGAAGTGAATGATCTGAGTACACCATCACAGGGCATCACTGAACATCTCTCTCACAACAACTTAATTCCTCTGATACTTCATGACAATTATAGACTAACAATACAAGATCGATGTATTTTTTTTTTGGTCCATTACATTTCGTTGTTTGTTTATGTAAGACAATAAATCAGAAAACTCTGGGTAATTTAGAAGTTTAATATTAAACTTTAATTTAGATCTAGTAACTGTGAACACTACTTCCCTAACCTGGATAAATGAACCTCCTAAATGAGCTGCTGTAGGGAGAGTGCAGTAGCGTCGCCCCAAGCCACAGTCAGGGAACAGTGTAGTACATTACAGTGAAACAGCCGTAGAACTCACTCACTCACTCACTCGCGTTGACGTTGTGTAGTTTTCCACATTACGTCAATATAATTATCACACACCTACAGAAAAAGTGGACACACACACACACACACACACACACACACACACACACACACACACACACACACACACACACACACACACACACACACACACACACACACACACACACACACACACACACACACACACACACACACACACACACATACATACATACATACATACATACATACATACATACATACATATACATACATACATACATACATACATACATACATACATACATACATACATACATGTACATACATACATACACACACACACACACACACACATACATACATACATACATACATACATACATATACATACACACACACACACACACACACACACACACACACACACACACACACACACACACACACACACACACACTGGCAACAGAACGCTATGCCAAGGCGTGGTAACGTGAGCACATACTTCATATTGAGCGTAATATTGTTACCGCGTCGTCGTCCAGCAGATCAATGAAGATTTATATGACGTAATTACAATATATAAAGCCGTGGCCATCTGTCATTATTACATGTCAAAAGTATGAAAACGCGGACCACCTCTCACAGTGTACCGCCACCACCTAACACTTTGCTGCTGCTAATAATAATAATAATAATAATAATAATAATAATAATAATAATAATAATAATAATAATAATATCTGTAATAGTAATACTGATAATAATAATAATCTCAAATATCTTATAATACTGACCTTAAATAATAATATAAATAAAACTATCTAAAAGAACTCACTAATAAAAAACAACTAACTAATGATAAAAAAGAATTAAATCAATTTGAAGGAATTGAGGATGTCGTCTCCTGCGTAAATTACCTTACCTGTAAATACCTGTAATAACTGTTACATATAAACGAATAAAATACTAGGAACCAGGTATTGTAGACAGGTATTCTATTATTTTCATATAATTAAATAAATATCGACTGGTAAGGTGTACAGTACTATAGAGAAATTCAAAGATGAGATTAATGTGTCTTGTAGAAATCTTCTTTTACTTGCGTCTCTCTCCAAACTTAGCCTCTTTTAAGATAGGAACCCACCCATCCACTGTATACTCTTAACAACCCGGAACCACCACTGCTGATCAATACATGAATTATACCTGTGTGTGTGTCTAGGTGCTCTGTTATTAATCTCCTTATAACCGTTTTCATCGGCGGCCAAACATGATCAGGACACGTCGGGAGATTGATGGCGAGCTAGCAGGCAACCCACATGAAACACACACAGATACGCTCTCCCACACACACACACACACAGAGCGGCAAAGTGTGTGTGATGATTGTGATGTAAAGGTCCTGATACTTGCCTCAAGCTACGGGTTCGATCCCTGTACAGGTTGTGAAATTTTGAGAATGTTTCTTTATGCCATTTGCTTCTGTCTTCTCATTAGTAATTTGGAAATTGGATAAAATCTGGTGTTAGACTGTGTTCCGGTGTAATGGTTCGTCAGTGCAGTTGGGGATATGTCCGCTCTTCTTGGGTCATGCAGCTGTACCTCAGGGTGTGGGTGTTCTGTTGACGACAGTTGCTACACTTTAAATTTATGTCATAGGGCCGACCGACCAGCCCCAAGCTGGAGGGGCAACAATTATTGTGTTTGTGAGGGAGGTGGTGAGGGAGGAGGTGAGGGAGGTGGTGAGGGAGGAGGTGAGGGAGCAGGTGAGGGAGGTGGTGAGGGAGGTGGTGAGGGAGGAGGTGAGGGAGGTGGTGAGGGAGGTGGTGTAACATATATTTCTTCTTATGCTTTTATATGATGATATATAAATATATATATATATAAATACACGGCAGGAGGGAAGATATAACAATGAAGAACACCAAATACAACACAGGTGATCAGTAATAAGGAAGAGATAACATAACAGGTGAGATAAGGTTGTCGAGGCAGGTGGTCGGGGTGTGTCTCTGGGACCATTACCTGTCCTGTGCGGGAGTTATTAATGGAAACAACTTCACGCTCCGCCCCAGCAGGTAGGTCACGGCCCACCAAATATTGACTCACACACAAACACAAACACTCCCTAGCTGCTCTGTGTGAGTCCACTTGTGTGCAGTACCTCTTGATATATATACCAGCACCAGCGTATGGATAAACAGCAACATATATATTCGGTAAAATTTCAACAATATATTTTATCATCAGAACTAAGCATGAAATAAAGTGCAATGACATGATTAAAAACTTAATGACAAAAATTAATTACAACATTGCTAACACTCAAAACTAAAACACAGAGCAAACCGTCAAGCCTCAGAACCTTAGACCAAAGAGTTGTGTGTCCAGGACTGGCTGCGTGGGGAGCGACTCTGCTGTGACCCTCGTCATATCAACGGGACAAGTGGTGGGGATGGTGAAATATGCCTTATTTATAGGATGATCAGAGAACATTTTACAAAAGTGGTTTAAATATATTGGTTGAATTTCTGATAAACTGCAATCCTCAGTTATTTATTTATTCACGAGTATTCGCTGTAATGTGATGTACTGTATGTTGGTCAGACTTACTCCAAGGATTAAATACGACTAAAAAAACACTGAAAAATTCCCTGTTTATCTCACGTTATTAAAGACCTTTAAGATAATTGTTGCTAACTGTTAACAAACGGCAAAATATACTGTGTTAAGATTATTTAATGTTTACTTATCATTTAATCTAAGGACCGTACATGTAAATTGTGTAAATGTACTATGTACCGTACATGTACACTCTTGTTGTACATTACTCTCTGGAACACAGTATGAAGTATTGTGACAACACTCAGAGCATGATGGTGTGTTGCTCTCCTTACCAGATACTTATGTTAGAGATACGAGTAATTTAGTGGGTTTCCTCAAGATGTTTCGTTTCTGCATCTGCCTTCCACGTGTATACCACTCCAGTTACGATTGCATAAATGAAAGAGTTCTCTCATCCATATCGAATCCCATGAATCATCCATGCTCCGAGACCCTCTAACTAAAGGAGAATACTTATTGCTGTCTGTAAGGATAAGGCTTTGATTAAAATTGACACGTCCAAAGAATAGATGAGACATATCACAATCTCTGATTATTTCACTCAACCCTTGTGCCACATGTTGGTTCTCTCCCGTAAATACATAATACTTGGGAAACGTCCTGTTTACTCCTCAAAAAATACTTTCCTACTGTATGTCATAGACCTTGGGGCAGTGTACAACAAACTGTTTACTACGTTTTCGGTATATACTAGGAGAGTTGGGGCAAAGGTGCTGTAATCAGTTTGTGAATGTGTCAATTTATCCGTCAGAGTGCGGCAGGGCAGGCCAAGGTCACAGACAGCTCTGACAGGCGGATGTAACTCAATAAATCTTGACTGGAGAGTTAAGAGTTGAGGGGAAGAAATGAACCAAGACACAAGATAAATGATCAAGATACTTGTTCATACTTCTCATCAGTCATAAGACACTGAGGGTTTTTTTTTTTCTCCTAAGGACTTGTCGCCGTGATGACTCAATCCCGCCGAAGGTGAAGGTGTATCTCGCGTGACCAGACATACTACCACCTGGAGACGCCCGGGATGAAACAATGTGTCATGAATGAAAGGTGAGTATTACCCGTTACCTGTTACCCTGCGCCAACACCAATCACCGCTCACCTACACTCACCTGATAGATAGAACAACGTGATAAGACCTCCTCACAACGCTGTAATTATATAGAGTG